AGAGTGTAAAATATTTAAGGAGGTAATAGTATGAACCAAAATAAGCAGAAAAGTCTCAATAAACATGGGTCCGCAAAGTAACGTTTGCGGAGATATGGAATGTTTTATGTTTTTTAGCCCCTTTTTTTATTTTGCAAAAACATTGTGTATTTTCTTATAATAGTTGGTTGATGTTTAGTGAAATAAACAGTACGTATTTGACAGTTGTTTTCAGTGCACAAGTTTTCTTTCGCTATGGCTGGTTACTTTAACGCAGAATTAACAGACATGCATTTCATGTATGGTCGTGCTAATGGGAACGCCACCGAAGCGCGGCGTCTTTATGTTGACGCATATCCAAATCGCCAGATTCCTTCACAACGCATGTTTGGAAGAATTCACCAAAGATTGCGTGATACCGGTTCCTTGAGCAAACAGTGTCATTTATCCGGAAGACCAAGGTCGGTATCCACTCCTAGAGCAGAAGAAGAAATTCTAGCACTGGTAGAGTAGAATCCAGGTACGAGTGTGCGGAGAATATCAGCCGAGGTAGGAATTAGTGGTCCTCTTGTTTGGAGAATCCTTCACGAGCAACTGCTTTATCCATACCATGTGCAACGAGTACAGGCCTTAAATCCAATAAATGATCATCAAGCACGTCTGGTTTTTTGCCGCTGGTTTCTACGTCATGATGCTGAAGACCCTCGTTTTCTTGCAAACATTCTTTTTACTGATGAGGCCGGGTTCACAAGAAATGGAGTGTTTAATTTTCACAATACGCATATTTGGGCCGACGAAAATCCTCATGCTCTAATAGAATCTGGACATCAGGCACGTTTTTCACTAAACATTTGATGGGTATTGTAGGTGACAGGTTTCTAGGTCTGTTGTTTTACCAAACCGATTAACAGGCGCTGCTTACCTCGACTTTCTGCAGAACACACTGTATGAGTTTTTGGAATACATTCCTTTGAATCATAGGCAACAAATGTGGTTCCAGCATGATGGTGCTCCAGCTCATTTTTCCATGGCCGTTAGAGAGCATTTACACCAAACTTTTCCACATAGATGGGTAGGAAGGGCCGGACCTGTTTTATGGCCTCCAAGATCGCCTGATCTGAACCCTCTAGATTTCTTTGTTAGGGGATATTTGAAGACATTAGTGTATGGTACTCCTGTAAATAGCCTGGAAGAGCTGCAGCTACGGATTAATCAAAAGTGTCAAGAAATCCAAACCAAGGAGGGTGTTTTCGAAAGAGTTCGAATATCGTTGAGACGAAGATGTCGTGCCTGCTTGGAAATGGACTTGTTTATTAAAAGCTTCCTTTGTCGGTTTATTCCTAATAAAATAAAATGTTTGAAAAACGAATAGTGGTCCATATCTCCGCAACCGTTACTTTGCGGACCCATGTTTATTAAGACTTTTCTGCTTATTTTGGTTCATACTATTACCCCCTGAAATATTTTACATTCTTTTTTAACACCCTGGATAATCTGAAGAAGGTGGCAACTCATAATAATTATTTGAATCCTTATTTCCGATTCTGAGTAAATGCATGAAAAGTTCGGTGGAGATGCAAAAATCGTGCAGTTGCGAATACGATGAAGTTTTGCTGTTGTGATAGTTCAAAAATATACGTTGAACACATAACCATAAAATGTATGACTTTAAACCACATTTTCGTTTAAAAAATAGTGGAACCAAATTTGAATGGACTATCTTTAAAAAATCGTGTAAAATAATGAGAAACTTAAAAACTTTGTCTCAAAAACGAAGATTTGCGCACCTATTATTAACGTTTTTCTATTTTTGGTCAGCTGTGGAGCTGTATTGAACAATTGAACAACCGTGTACAAAACAAATAATACTTCTTTAATTAATGCAAGTTTTATAATCCAGTCTGTGTACGTGAAAATGGAAAAAATTCACAAACTAAATCCGAGATGTAATTTACCGAAAATATATTCATTCCAAGTGCGTGGGACGACCTATAACATGTTAAAATTCGTCTAATAAAATAATCCAGAAGATTTACTAGCATAGGCCGATCAAACAGAGAAGCCGGAAATGGAGTGGTGCCAGCAATTTGTTCTAGCATTTATAGCTGCCGTAAAATTAACAATTATTTGACAATATTTCCAATTGCCAAATAACAGGAGACAGACGATATTTTTATTTCTGAACGTTGGTGAGGTCAGTTGCAATCCCAACTTAATACCTACTCTAATACTTACATTTCTGAAGCCGCTTCGTTTGAAAGGCTTAACATTAAATTTTCTTATACGTAATTCAAATTACATTAAAAATAAATAAATATCTAACGATGCCGTTGCGCACACTTCTGTTTTACAATTAAGATCATAACAGTCAAATAGATAGTAACCAAAAAGCTAACTTGTGGAAGACTCTTACCATTTTACCAAGGCTCATCTATGCATTTCTATCATTAAACAAAATTAAAGACTAAAGACTATAAGATATTTTCTGAATGTATAAAGAACAACCTTCAAATCCTGCATTAATAAGGTATTCATAGACATATTCAAGCGAAATCAGTTATATAAAAGGCTATAAGCACCATAAAAGTCAGCCTCTCGTCATGGTTTTGAAAAGTAATAAAAATTGTGTTGTCTATTCACATACAGCATTTTAGACACTCTGAAATACAAAAGAAAAAATGAAATAATACTCTTACGGAAGCTTATACGAGCTTCATTTAGAACAATCCATCCTACTCTCGTTTCTAATAGGCGTAGACCATCAAGTCACTGATCATCAGATAAATAGAGCATGTTTCATCTAATAATAACTGAAAATCTTAAGAGGATACAATATATTTGGGCGTGTTACAAAAAAAGTAAATTTCATAAAAAGTCGTGTGGGCAGGTACCTATCAACTGCAACAATGTATCCTGTCAAAATTAGTTTGAAAATTCATATCTGTCCAAGTCGAATGGTAAACTAGTTTCAAATATTATAATGAATGTTATTCGAATTAATTAATAATCATTTGATTAATATATTTCAGATGCAAACGATAGATATCTGATTTGGTTCTCTGAAATTTGATACACTTATAGTTTTTATAGTTTCTGGGTAATAAAAACTGAATGGCCTCTGAAAACCGGTAAGCTATACCGTAACATACCTATACTGAAATTATTATAAACTCTTCTTAATAAATGATTATTTTAAGTGAAATATTTCTTTACTTACCAAATTTGCCATTTATTATGAAAATATGTTTGGAATATAAAATTTCGTTTTCAAAATCTTAGGCTTATATACTACTAAGCTAAGGAGTATGTAATTGTAGCTTCTAAAACAGCAGAGTAATTTTGGGACGATCCACGATTGAACTTGATAATCCAAAAAGAATCTGCTGTATCTCAAAATCCAAATTTATTGTTGTACTTCCAATATTCCTAAAAAAATATAATAAATCATTTTTTAAGTCACATTTTTCGGCTAGCTGAAATAGGAAACGCATTTCTAAGTTTTTGAATTTATGTGAAATTATTAATGTCTGGCATTTTGAGGTCTGAAAATGTTAGTTTTTCACTCATCTTAAAGTGTCTGGCAGTTTATGCAAAAATAGACATTAATAAGTACCTAACAATTTTCAAATGGCAGACGGTATTAAATAGCCGAAAGGGTTGTTCATAGGGCTAAACTTGCAAGAAGAAAAAATAATTCATCGTTTACTTTTTGTCTGGCAATCGAAACAATGAAAATTTTTGTTATGAAAATGATAAAAATCTGTTCATCCACTTAAGCCGACGCCACACGATGTGTCAAACGTTTTCCAACGTTAGACACACTAACATTTGCCGCATCGCGTGACGAAACGCCACTGTCGCTTTCAAATTACTCTACACCCCGCATAGTTCAACTGTTTCGGGTGAATTTTTTTTCAAAATGTTCGTCTTGAATGTCACTATCGATCTCTCTTTTGGGATTTTTGATTTCGGTCTTCATTTTTTTGAAAATTGACTCCAAAATTCGATTTTTATGAAAAAAAAACTGATTTTCGGCGCAAATGTGGTCCTACATGGCGCAAGTTGATGTTTTTCGAAAATTTTTTTCAGCTGAAAATCTTCGTTTTGATAAATACTACAAAACTGTCTGCGTGAAAGTCGTGAGAAAAATTTTTCATATTCGCAAAAACGGTCATAATGTTCCAAAAATTTTCGTGGAGAAGCGATTTTTTAATTCGAAATTTCTCAACCTGGGGAAAAATTAGATGAACCAAAAGTTATTTAGAATCACTCGAGGAATACTCAAAAAAATTTTCCAGAATTTTTGGATATATTTCAAAATTTTTGGATTTGGACATTTTTTTAAATGTCCCAAAATGTGTGTTTCGTCCCACTGTATGAGCGGCTGAGCGTTTGACATGCTTGCCATGACTTGATTGTTTTTGTTTTCTTGTCGCAGCAGGTTTATATTTTTTATTACTATTATTATAAAATTACGAATAACAAAGAAGAAAAATTAATCAGTTTATACATTTTGCAATCGTTTAAAAAGTTTTCATTCGTGCGTATTTAATGTGTTTCTTATAATTGTTACTAATAAACTATTAATGAAACAGGGTGCCAAAGTTTTATTTATATGTCCTAGTATTTTCCAACAATATCTGAATAAATTAAGATAAAAGCACAGAATTATGGATTCGGAATTTTTTTGACATGAAAGTTTCAAATCTGTTCATAGTTTTAACGTCACTAGTACAGGGCGGCACCTCTACGGCATATAGCACTTCTTTTAAATATAATTTTTCACATTCATATAATATTCACCCCACCATGCGGCGGAAGCATTTGCCAAATGCTAGTGTGCTGATTTTGATTCCAACGTTTGACACATTGTGTGGCGCTGACTTTATCTGCAAATGACCTAATCGAGCACAGTTCCTATTTGCTAATTGCTAATTGCTAATGATCTAGTAGGTAAATGAGGATTAGATTTGCAACATTGCTGAAAAACAACTCACTCAACCCTCCTTTCTTTTTTTCAGGTTGTTCGGTACAAAATGTGATAAGTGCGGGTCCTCGTTCAGAAAAGAAGACTTTGTGATGCGCGCCAAGAGCAAGATCTACCACATAGAGTGCTTTCGGTGCTGCGCCTGTGCGAGACAGTTGGTGCCCGGAGACGAGTTCGCGTTGCGCGAGGGTGGCGCTCTCTACTGCAAGGAGGACCACGACGTGATGGAGAAGAATTCGGCGCCCACGACGCCGCACGCCGCCGGTGAAAGCAACAATAACACCAGTCTCAGCAACAACAACCACAACAGCAACTCCACGGAACTGGGGTGCATGTCGGGTAAGTGGTTACTTCCTTCTAGATGGTAGATGGTAAACGTGGACCTCCATAATCTTCGAGTTCCTTCAGGCAGTAAATAGCATCCCTGTTGTATCTTCTCACTCTCAAAATACGTTGGCCGCGACATTTTTTTGACCTGATAGAACTTACACGACAGGTTGTCTTCTACCAAGCCAATATACGATATGAATCAATTACTCTGGCTAAAGGGGTACTCCAAGATTCTATTCTTGGTTCTCTTATAACGAGCGTTCAAATAAAAACGTGGTCGAAGTTGGCTCTGACACATTGGACATAGGGAGTAGCTTATAGCGACCAACTTAACCTCATTTCTCAACGAGCTGTATAGCAGCTGTCAGTTTCAATAACGTTAATGACTATATAACTTTATTTTAAAGAATAATCGTGATAACAATAACAAACAATTAAAGGAGCTGCGGAAAGTGTCCCCCTCCTTGTTATAACAATAAATTAAAGCAGCTGCTGAAAGTGTCCCCCTCCTTGTTCCAAGCACTTTTCACACCTGTTCCTCAAAGAATTAAAGACATTTTCTAAGATGCTCGGGGTATTGTTAATTTCACGAATCTTGTCTATAAGTCGAGCCTGCAGATGGTTTAAATCAGGAATAGGCAGTTCAAAAATAGTGTTTTTAAGGTAAGGCCACAAAAAGAAATCACACGGCGTAATATCACATGACCTCGGTGGAAATTCATGTTCAGCATTGAGACTTATTAGTCGATTTTGGAAAACTTCCCTCAACATATTCATCGTCTCGCCTGCCGTATGTGCCCTTGCGCCATCTTGTTGAAAGTAAAAGTTTGTAATTTCGTTTTCTTCCAGCTGGTTAACAAAAGGAGCGATAATTTCTTCTCTATACCTTTGCGCAGTAAGAGTACCATTAAAAAAAATAGGTCCATAAATCCTCCTTCGATTGAGAGCACACCAAACTCCAATTTTTTGAGCGTGTAGAGGGCCCTCGACAAAAAAGTTATCTGGTTTTTCAGAAGACCACATTCTCATATTCTGTGAGTTTACGTAACCACTTAAATGAAACCAGGCTTCATCAGAAAAAAAGGTGATATTATGAAGTTCACCGTAGTTGTTTAAAAACCATTCACAAAATACAGCCCGTCGCGGAAAATCAACTTCATGAAGTTCTTGCTGACAAGTTAAACGATAGGAGAACAAACGCAAATCTTTTTTTAACACTGTGTGGCAGGTACCGACTGATACTCCCACCATTTGTGATAAAACACGTACAGAAGTTCTTGGCGCATTTTCCATTATTTGTTGGACATTTTCTTTTAATTCTTCAGTCCGCTTTTTAGGTCAGCCGCTTCCTTCTTTTCTTGTTACACTGCCCGTTTCACGAAAAACATTAACACATCGCCGAACTGCACTTTGAAAAATGTTGTACTCAACAACGCCGGGAAATTGATTTTGAAATTCTCTGAAACATTCCTCAATAGAATACTTCCATATTCCATCAATCTTGCGTCCATTTCTAAAGTAGGACTCTATGATAAACACTTTTTGTTCTTGAGAACACACCATTTTAAACGCTTTTTAAAACGAAAATATTCAAATTGATAGCGGCGATATAGCGCTTTGACAGATGACGTTTAAGTTCATTTGCTATACGCTACGCCCTACGTCCAAATTTTCAGAACCAACTTGATCACGTTTTTATTTGAACGCTCGTTATTTTCTTTCTAGACATCGAATCTTTCTACATAGTTATATTGACAATTGTCAAAAAATGATGTCACAGATGATGTACGATTATACAGGGTGATTCAGAACTTACCCAAAAAAAAATTCTGGATGTACAGGGGACCCTCACAAATACAATTTTGTAAAGAAAAAATCAAAAAGGGCAGTTCGAAAATGATTTAAAAATACACTTCTGCACGGCATTGGAAACTGGTCCACTGTAAAACCTGACCCCGCACAATACGACCGGCATGGCAGTGTGATAAAAACTGACAAAAACTTTCGCAAGGAAAGAAATAAATACATTTTTTTTATTTTATGTCGGCAAATTCAACTGCTTAAATAATTAATAAAATTAATTTGTGTTTTTAAATAATAAATTCATTTTACATACCTGATGTTACAACAACAATTGTTCAAAATTTTATCCACCAACGTGTAAACACATTTGGGTCCATCTTACTCAGTTTCTACGAACTAACACAAATATTGTCTTGCTTCACCATAACACAAATGCTTCACCATAATATAAATGTTGTCTTGCTTCACCATAAATTAAAACGATATCTATCAACTCCGAGTTGCTATACACGCAAACCATTTTTGACACTAAAAAACTATTGTAAACACCACAGATAACAGGTAAACACATCGCAACGACGATTGCAAAATCAGATTTCAATATTCGGAGTCGCTGAGGCCACATGGCTCTCCACGCGTATTGCGAATGACGCTAGAGACTACAGTTGTCCAGCTATGTAGTAATTGAATATACTATAACTTCAATAATTTTTTTCTCGAAAACTATAAGGATTTTACAAAAAAAAATTTTACGATATTAACTCATGCCGCATCTATTCCCAATTTTTTTTGGATAAGTTGTGAATCACCCTGTATTATTCTTTTCCCCAGATAATGCTGCTACTGAAATAGATTCTGACCTGAACTCGATCCTGTTCTTCTAAAAATCATATTCTTAGTCTAAATGCTGCTAAAACCAATGCTATTTTACTTGGTAGCAAAAATCAATGTAATACTGTAACTATCAACAGTATATTAAAATTAAATCATTCACATCTTGAGATTCATGATGAAACAAGGGATCTGGACCTAATAATATTTGATAATTCCCTTAGATTTCACATCTAAATATCTAAATTCCGTTTACCTACCCTATTTACAAATGTTGTAATAACATAGAGGTTGATTGACTAGAGAATTAAAAACTATTCTTTCAAATTCCCTAAGATTATTCTATTGTTTGCTTGTTTAAATGCGTATACAAAAAATTCTTGTTTAACCTTCATTTTTGATTTCGCATAATATGATTATACATATATTGTATAAGTTACAGGAAATCGGTAGGTTAAATATGGCAAACCGATTTATTTTGCAATCAGGAAGAATATTCTATTATGTTAGGATTACTTAAAACAGATTATTTGTGTGCAAAACTAAGTAAATCAATCCTATTGTTTTTCTCTTTTTTATTAAAATTGTGGAAAACTATATAATTTATTCAAATCAATAATACACAAACATGCATTTAATTTGTAGATATTATTTTTTACCCAAAAACTAACAGAGATATCGAAATTTTACGGCCTTGCACACGATCTCCTATCTCTTCTTTCTTTAAGTGTTCCTAGCTCTTCCAATTTTCTAAGTAACTGGACAAATTTCACTTGAGACCTGAAATGCCAAATCAAAACTGACGCACTTGATGTAGAATGAGATGTAAATGCAGGCAGCAGATAATGGGCTTCATTTCTCACTCCTATTACTTTTAGGATGAGCAGTGGCAAAGGAGTGAAGTGTGGAAGACACACAATGAGTTATCGACTGCCTGCATTTCTTTCTTACATCAAATTCCACCTCTATTTGATCGGCAGATTTCAGGTACCAGTGGAATTTGTTCAGCTGAACATGGTAAACGTTTGTGAATGGAAAATATGAAATAGAAAGATCAATACGTTAGATACACACCGAAATTCTATAGGACATAAAAATAGATAGCGCAATTAAGAAACATTTTTTTGTTCTGATTTCTAAAAAAAACCTAAGGGAAAAAAGAATGGTGTAACTTATATGTAAAAAAACACAAAAACAGGAAATACATTAATATAGTGGCATTTCACTAAAACTACGTCCGTATCAAATTTAATCAAATTAATCTTTCTATCTGCAGCCATTTTTATTTACTAAAAACAGGCTGTAACTTTTTATAGAAGGCTCAAATCTGATTTATATTAGGGATTTTCGAAAATTGAATCGAGTTGCTATCTCTGTCTTTGTTATTCTTATGGATCTGAAGGAAGAGAATGATATGATCACTACGAGTTAATTTTCGTAAACTCCTATTATACTAATATTATTTACATAACTTGTTTGAAGTTAGAAAAAACTGAGCATTTTTTTCGCTCCTAAATATTTCAAAGGAACTAATCGATAGGATTAACATACTAGAAAGCATTAGTAAGATTACTAACCTCGTACTATATACGTACTTGTAATTCAATAACAATTTATAGTTAGTTGCTTCTACACTACGATTTTATTACCAACATATCTAATTGTATTATTTATAATGACATTGGCCAAACAAAAGTGAAGGCCATTCTTTTATCTCATCAACATCTCCTTAGGCATTTAGAATTATTTGTTTGTGTCTTGAATTTAACAACAGTTTTTAATTGACCTTCGACATACAATTGCAGTTTCTAGGAAATTATTAAATAAATCTGTGCAGATTCTCAAGATTAAAAAAATAAGTATATACAAATCTAATTCATAACAATATTGTCTAGGTATATGTTTAGGTAATAACTAGTATTCTAATAGATTCCGGAATTGAGTTTATTCTACTACTACAATCAAAAACAGAAGTGTTGTAACAGTACTGTTTTATTTCATAATCATTAACATACTAAATTGTTTACAGAAGAAATTTTAAAATTCCTGGTAAAAAGTTTGACGTTAACAGTGCATTTATTCCACTTGAATTATTCCATCGATAATTATATCCATATCTTCTATTTATTTATTAGTTGTCTGGAACAAAATCCAAGGTTTGTTTAATATTTTTTGAAAATATGAATTAGAAGACACTTGCCTATGTAACTACAGATTTACACTTTACTTTCTCTTACAAATATTTACTCTTCCAATATTTTAGGAAGCCTTTTTATGGTAACATAAAAGCAATGTGTTGTATGATTACTGTAAAAGTAACTAATTGTTGTTTCTATATTTGGATAGGCGCCCGCCGTCCGCCCTACCAAGTTTTT